ACCTTATAGGTAAGTAGCAATACATTATGGAAACTGTACGGGGTATACCAGAATTGTCTAAGCAATATCTACGTTATTGCGACATATTTGTGGGTATCGGTAGCCTTTAAGTCAATCAAGGAGAATACGGGGCCGCTGAGTGATGTCATGAAGCACTAATGAACTTTTAGAACCTTTACTTGACCAACTTAGCCAATAGGACATAGTGAGATGACCGGCTTTGGTGCAGTCCGAAGTTGGTAGATACTCGATACTACACTCATTGAGGTTTAGTTTTTTGAGATATTTCGGTCGCCATTAAAGAGGCTTGTGCTGAGACAATACTCAAGGAAACAAAACAGTGATATTGAGCTCCTTAGAACCCGATTACTATTACTAGGACATGTTTGAGCCAACTAAACTTCAAGAGGGTACTTACCTATGGGACTCCATGCAAGCCTAAACCTAAGGATTTGTTTGCTTTGTTTGTATATACATACTTGTACATAACATCATGAACATGATAACATCATATTCATTCACTAACCATTTCAAGGATCTTGGGATTCATCTTTGTTCTCTTCTGTAGGACATGGATTCTATTCGCAGGAAAACTATTCAAGTCAACCTTGTAAGGATCCCTCCACAACTTAAGGAGCTAGCCTCAAGGATTCCAGAAAATTCTCCATTCACCAAGAGATATGGTCGCATAATCAACTTCGTCACCTCCAACACTGATGAAGACATGATGAAGGTGCTCTTTCAGTTCTTTGATCCTTTACACCATTGCTTCACATTTCCCGATTATCAACTTGTGCCAACTTTGGAAGAATTCTCCCAACTCTTGAGGATTCCAATTCTCAATCAATTACCTTTCAACGGTACGGAAAGAGACCCAAAGCCATAAGATATTGTTCAAGCTCTACACTTCCAGTCATCTGTTGTCATAACTAATTGGGAAACAAGGAGTGGTGTCAAAGGCTTCCTAGCAAAGTTCTTGTTTGAAAAAGCCCGAAACTGTTGGAACTCTTTGGTTTTGCAAGCCTTTGAGGAAATTATGGCTCTCCTAATATATGGGATGGTTTTGTTCCCAAATCCTGACCAACTCATAGATGTGAACACCGTCAAGATCTTCATGTCTCGTAACCAAGTGCCTACTTTGCTAGGGGATATTCTACATTCTTTTCACACTCGCACTATGAGGAAGAGAGGTGTCCTTATGTGTTGCACTCCTCTCTTGGCAAGATGGTTTATTTTGCATCTTCCCCAATCTGTATTGAAGAACGAGCAAGGTTCAAGGTGGTCACAAAGGTTGATGACGCTCAAGCATTCAGACATTCATTGGTGTTCCCGATCCCTAGAGAATGTTACTATTGTCGACCGTTATGGAGAATTCCCTAATGTCCCCTTACTTGGCATTGGGGGAGGTATCACCTACAACCCCTGCTTATCCTTAAGACAGTTTAGTTACGCCCGAAGGGATGTCCCGCATGAGATGCTGATTCAAGTTTTGGTATTTGATTACAAGAACGACGATCAAGGTCTTCGCCAGAGATTTATCCGAGCTTGGAGGATGTTGAACAAGGTAGATAGGAAGACATTGTGGCATAAGAATTCCATCCCTCTTGAGCCTTACCTCAAATGGGTACGAACTCGCGCTCAAAGTATTATGATGCCTTATCCCTCCATTCTCCCGGTAATCATTAAGCCTGTCATGGAAGGAGATGTTCCATACACTATCCTACCTCTTGACATGCCCACCTCTCTTGAAGACTTACAAAGAGATTGGATAAAACTCAAGGGGGAGTGAGATACTTTCGAAGCCCAATTCTACACTAGCGAGAAGAAGGTTTTGGAATCCACTAAGCAACTTCATAAGGAGAAGACTCTGAATGCCTACATTGCACCAAAGAGGATGCGTAATACCTTTTTATCTTAGAGTTTTTTTTTGTATTATTTTGTTAAAAGAGGCATTGATGTACTCAAGCTTTAATTTATTAATATAACGTGTGTTTCCTTTTTGTCTAAAACAAATTTGAATCTTTAAAATCCTTGAAATAATTGCATATGCATTTACCATTCATCATAACATAAGAAGGACCTCCAAGCTCAGAATGCACAATTTCAACAGATGTTCTTAACTCTGGCCAAAGGACAAGAAGAGTTGAAAACCTTGCTGGTTGAAGAGAAGAAAAAGAATACAAAGAAGATAACCGGGGTTCTAAACATGGGAAGAAGATTCCAAGGACAAGAAAGAAGGACCTTAGACTTTGCAACGACATCTAGTGAGAAAGACAATCAGGATTGGAAAGGCAAAGAAACAGTTGTCCAGTCAGAGTCAGAAGAGGAAGAGGAAGAAGAAGACTATTCTGAAGAATAATATTCTCCAGCCGATGACAAGTATAAGCATCTAGAAGAATGGTTAAGTGCAATGGAAATCCAAAAAGTGCCTTGATTGGACTTTGAGGAGTTGGGCTTAGTATCTGGCATTGTCATCCCTCCAAAATTCAAAGCACCGATGTTCGCCAAATATGATGGAGTTTCGTGTCCCAAAATGCATCTCCGGTCCTATGTGAGGAAAATCCAACTTCATACCGCTGACAAGGATTTATGGGTACACTTCTTCCATGACAGTCTGTATGGAACTCAACTTGATTGGTTTTATCAGTTAGAAAGAGCCAATGTTCATAACTGGGAAGATTTTACTGCTGCCTTTTACAAACAATACCAATACAATGCTGATTTTGCACCCACCCGTACTCAACTGCAGAGTATGGCCATGGTTTCAAGTGAAGGATATAAGGACTATGCGCAAAAATGGAGGGACTTAGCAGGAAGAGTCCAGCCTCCTCTATCTGAAAGAGAATTGGTAGACATGTTTTTGGGCACCTTGTCTGGTCCCTTCTTCAATCACTTAATTGGGAGTTCATCGGAAGGTTTTACCGAATTGATATTTGAAACAACCGGCTGAAAATCATCAAACAATGAAGTTGCCATCGAACGTATTTTATCCCACATGTAGGGAAAGGTAAACATCGAGAAAACCTGATGAGGGAGAAGTCACGGTCTTGCGACCGAGAGATCGGGTAAGGGAGTCTGTTACGCGAGGGGAAGGTATTAGCACCCCACACGCCCGTAGTACTCTACGGTATCCACTCTTGTTATCTATCTTATGGGTGTGTTTAATCTATGCTTACTGTTCATTAATGCTAAGGGAGAATGCATGCAAAAGAAAAGGGAAAAAATGTAGGGAAAATAAAATTGTGCTCGCCTGGGCCCTACCCCAATGCCTACGTATCCTTTTTGAGGAATCAGAGCTATCGTAGTTCGGCTCACATTTTTTGTTTGTTTTGTGTTTTTTATGGACGAAGTTAATTCCGCCTTCTGCCGTAGCTCGACCTTTGGAGGCTTATGCGTTGGCACAGAAGTAAATTAATCGTGTCCTTACTTGAAAAGGGTTTTAAAAAATGGTGCTCGAGCGCACAAAAGATTTGAGTTGGTTTGCATTTTGTTGTAGATATTTTTTATGGACGAAGTTAATTCCGCCTTCTGCCGCAGCTCGACCTTTGGAGACTTACGCGTTAGCACATAAGTAAATTAAACGTGTCCTTACCTGAAAAGGGTTTTTTAATGAAAGGTGCTCGAGCACACAAAAGATTTGATTTTGTTTTGTATTTTTGTTGTAGATATTGACTAGTCGACCTCAAGAGAGAGATATTAGCCATTTTTCTACTTAGTCATGAAAGGAGTCTTTGAGAATTGAACCACACCTATGCTTGAGATGAAGAACAATAAGATCGAGAAGAGACCCGCTTATCATTTCTCGTACTAAGCAAAAGCAGGATTCTCATCAATAGTTTTAAAGTGTTTTGAATTTTTGAAAGAAAGAGAAGTTTTTGTTTTAGGTGCGAATGCAAAAGGAGAAAGAAAAGTCAAAAGGGGACTAGTCTACTTCTAAACCTAATGCTATTATGTATTGTTAGCCCTAAAGATTTAAGTTAAAGGGGAAATTTCTACCTGATGTTAGTATGCATATGGATTTGCAATAAAGTACGGAAATGAAGAATAAAATAGATTTGTGACGATACCGAACGGAGAAGGTCCGTTGCCTCTTCAAAATTGTGTAAGCGGTAAGAAAATTCTATCAAAGTTACCTTGGGCAAGTGATTGAAGAATTCACCCCGAGCATTCCACATTGCAAGAGTTATGTCGACGCTACAAAAAGTCTCGGCTAGAAAATGGCAATAAAAATGATTATCGAATATGAAAAATAAAATAAAAAAATTCTAATCGAAATTCTAAAAGAAATTCTATTCTAAAATATTCTATTATTTTTTTGTCAATTGAGAGGAAGAAATTAAACTAAAAGAAAAAACTAAAATAATAAAAGAAAAGAAAAAAAATTAGAAGAGTAAGGGGGTGTGAGCTGAATTCATGGGGTGGTGCAAGTAAGGGCGCTAGGCCCAATTCATAAATAAAATCCAATAGAAATTTTTATTGCAGATAATGGCTTTAGGCAAAAAAACGAACGGGCCTAATGCCATGCAGTTTCAGTCCATGGCCTTATTCAGCATTTTAATTTAATTTAGTCATAATCATTATTAGTTTGAATTAAAAAATAATAAAACAAAAATAAAATTGTGCAACAATTAAAACTAAAAAAGGAAAAGATATGAAAAATAAAAGGGAATTTTAGGGTTAGAAAAAAAAGTCTCTTCTTCCTTTCTTGCAAGCGGCGGCGGTCTCTTCGTCCTCATCGCCGACTTCTTCTTCCGCCGTGCAAACCTCCTTGGATCAAGAATCTCCAAACACCAATCTCACCCGAAATTAACCCCTGAGTCTAAATCCGAACTTAATTTATGCCAATTCTTCTTCATAATCCTTCCTATAGATCAACGTCCGAAAACCCTAAGTATCCTATCGGAGATCGTCCGATGCGTATCAACGGCGGCGAGTAGAAGTAGAAAACCAGAGATACTGATGTAGACTTCTGGTATAAAATCCTTGATTCTTTCGTTTCCTTACGGTACCGTCTTCTGTTTTTTCCTGCTTTTCGAATGCTCGCCCTTCTTGATGTCAATGTTACTGTGAAGTTGCAGCGATGAACCAATAATGGTGACTATATGAATATTGTTGCAGATTATTGATGAAGAAGGGAGATGAGTTTTCAGAGAAATCTTCAGATGAATATCGACGAGATATTGCAGAGAAACATAGATAGAGTTGAAGTCGTTGATAGAGGTTTTCGGTGTATATTCAGGAGAGTTGCCGGATGAGGGAAAAGATGGAAGTGGTTGAGGTGTTAACGTTTGTCGTGGAATTGGAGAATCCGATGGTGGATGATGTCCATGTGAATCCAGGTGGAAGTCTCGTTGTATTCTTTGAGGAATGTTTGAAGGAGATTCAGGCTTTGAAGATGGTGAAGTTGATTCAGGCTTTGATGATGGCGGTGATTCTTCTGGGAAATTGAGAGGTAATCCCCTCTTTTTTTCTATTGAAATTTTATCTATATAATGTTCTGCCTCTGCATATGCTGGAAGTTTGTTATTTATATATAGGAGGTTGGTTAGGAATGATTTAGTTATGCAGTTAGAAGTTAAGATGCAGTTAGGAGTTTGTTACAGTTAAGTTGGTTATAGTTAGAAGTTCTGTTAGGATAATGTTAGAAATTCTGTTAGTTGGTTATAGAAAACAGTTGCGGGAAGTTGGTTGGGGAATTATGACTTTGGTTAGGAAGCTGAGATGCAGTTAAGAATTTGTTACTAGTTAAGTTAGTTTGGATCTGGTTAGAAAGTTAAGAAAAGTTGTTAAGTTGTAGTTATTGTGATAGCTGGAGTTTGATTTCAGTTTCTGTTATAGGGTAGTTGTAAACTGTGAGAATTTCTGTTAAGGGGATTTGGTTAGTTTGCAGGTTAGTTCATCAATTTGAGCCAACTGAGAAAGGGGTTAGCAAACACCAGCAAAAACTAGTGGTTGGTGGAAACTTCGGTTAAGCCATATAAAAAACTGCTGGTGAAGTTTATAGTTATGTAAAAGAAACTAGTTAGTAGATTGGATCGAATATTGACGCTTGAAAATAGGGTGGACTGCGGATGATATATATGTTCTTTGATTTACTATCCTTGTTTTGTATGGCTGAATTTCGATGCACGTGAACTTGTTTTATATGGACTCATTTTGCATTTATTCCGAACTTGATCCCGGTGCTGAACTATAGCATGGATTGAAGTGCATCAGTGATGGTTTGTTTTTCCTTTTCTTGCTTTGGATACTTGAATTGGTTGTTTCCCTTTTGGATTGTTTATTAGACTGGAGTGATTTAACCGCGAAATCTCGGTTGTTGCAGGTTTACTTTTGAACTATTAAACTGGTTTTGATGTTCAGATTCGTTTTTTTAAATAAAAATATGGTTTATATAGGTTTTGTTCATATCAGGGCTATTGAGAAGCAAAGGCAAAAGGAAAACACCAAGATGATATGAATTTGGAACAAAGACGCATAACACGAAGTTTTGGAAGCTTGAAGTTTGAAACATGAAGAATGGTTGAAAATTAGGATAGGTTTTGGTAAAAATATATAGATGTTATGTATAATTGTAATGGAATTTGGACTTGTATGTATTTGAATAATTGTAATGTATGTTGACTTTATTTCCACATAATGAAATGGCCTTTGTATGAATTCAAATAAATGGTATGAATCCAAAATATTTGCAAGGTAACCAAAAGAGACATGAATCTTGAATGAATCCAAGAGAGGCTATTTGGACAATATTTTGATGGTTGGATGAATTTGATGCATGCTTTTTCATACTTGTGGTTTGAATTCCAAGAAAGGCCACGCAAATATTTAAGAACTTTGATTAAATCCACTTCAAATATTCCAAATCCACTTCAAATATTGATGAATGAATTCTAATCAAACCACAGCTTCAGTGAACCCCTAATTCAATTCAATTTTCCGATCTAAACCAAAATTGCGTGTCAAGTAATAAGCATTTGAAGCAATGACACCTTGATCCTAATCAACATCTTGTACCATGTCCCGACTATATGAGCACTAGAACAACGGCGTCTTGGACTCCTTCTCAATAGATGATAATGACTATGCCCTGAGGAATTCTTTGCAGATGAATATGAAAGATGAGACATGCGAATACCTTGATATGGAATGAACCTCAGGTAGAATGCTGACAAGCTCAAGTATGAAAATGTATAAACCCTGATTTTTAACTTCGTCTCATAAAACTTGCAACTTGACATTGAGAAGAAAAGGATAGCCTCGTAGCTTGATGATGATAAGGTCCATGAAATGAAAACCTAACTTCAAACAGATTATTAATGGAGAAATCAACCGAAACAAGCTTGTGCGAAGATGGGAGCCTTAAAGCCATACACCAACCCTTATTCCTCGAAATCCATGATCTTATGCCAATTTATTGATTAATGATGCATGATGTGTTAGATGACCTAATGTGAGAAAAATGCAAAAATGCGTAAGCCAGATAGGAAGTAAAAGGGTAGGACAAATTTGGGGTATTACAGCTGCCCCTATTTAATTGTCTTAAACCTGAAAGTACGATTGGCACATGCCTTTCGGAAGTTCAAGGTTGAATATGATTAAATATCAATGCCAAAAATTTGTCCTGAGAGAGAGAGAGTGAGTGTTTTCTTTATTTATTTTTGTGTTATCTGTTGGGGAAGAGAAATTTGTTTTTTCAATGAAGAGACAAAGATTGGACTTGTAACGTGGCGTGATGCCAATACAAGACAAATGATTGGTATGAAAAGACAGCGGACGAGGTCTACGGGCGACCTACGATCCCAAGGTGATACATGAGAGTGATTTGACAGAGAACCTAGCCAAAGGGCGATCTCAGGTTCGACGAAGGTTTGAAGGAAGAACCTAGCCAAGAGGCGATCTCAGGTTCGACGATGACTTTAGGAAGGAACCTAGCCAAGAGGCAATCTCAGGTTCGACGATGATTTGAGGGAAGAACCTAGCCAAGAGGCGATCTCAGGTTCGACGATGATTTGAGGGAAGAACCTAGCCAAGAGGCAATCTCAGGTTCGACAAAGATTTGAAGGAAGAACCTAGCCAAGAGGCGATCTCAGGTTTGACAAAGATTTGAAGGAAGAACCTAGCCAAGAAGCGATCTCAGGTTCGACAAAGGTTTGAAGGAAGAACCTAGCCAAGAGGCGATCTCATGTTCGACAAAGGTTTGAGGGAAGAACTTAGCCAAGAGGCGATCTCAGGTTCGACAAAGATTTGAAGGAAGAACCTAGCCAAGAGGCGATCTCCGGTTCGACAAAGATTTGAAGGAAGAACCTAGCCAAGAGGCGATCTTAGGTTCGACGGTGATTTGAAGGAAGAACCTAGCCAAGAGGCGATCTCAGGTTCGACAAAGATTTGAAGGAAGAACCTAGCCAAGAGGAGATCTCAGGTTCGACAAAGATTTGAAGGAAGAACCTAGCCAAGAGGCGATCTTAGGTTCGACGGTGATTTGAAGGAAGAACCTAGCCAAGAGGCGATCTCAGGTTCGACAAAGATTTGAAGGAAGAACCTAGCCAAGAGGCGATCTCAGGTTCGACGAAGGGAACATGGGTTATGACATGATGATTGTTTTAGATAAGCGACACGGACGAGCATCAAGAAAGTTTAAACACGGACGAGTGCTTGAATAACTGACCCAGGTGGGTGTTTAGGAAACTTGACACATAGGAGTGCTTAGGAATGGATACTGACGAGTGTTTAGGGAACCGACTACCAGACAAGAACTAGGTTTAGAACAGCAAAGTGTATTGATTTTGTTTGGCACTGAAAAGGTGAAGGTCACCGACTGGGAACTTTGAGCATGATACCCTCCTGTAGGGATGTGTTGTTGTCCTTGAACAATTCAGGTCTTTCGTGTAAGGTACCTGGTCTGGCTTATGCTTTGTATGCATGTTTGAATTTCTTTTGACGCAAAGATCCACTCTGATGGATCAGCTACGCGCTTTTGAGGATGCAATGATATGTAATGATAACTATATGCAATGCGAAGAAATAAGCTTCATGGGGATAAGAGAAGGTTTGCTGGGAACCACTGCTCATCACTAGGGATGTCAATATGTACCGACGTTGGAAGCCTGCAGTACCAAAGATTGCTGGGGATACTGACAAAAATTTGCCCTGGGGAGCTCTTGAAGACCAAAGATCGTTGATGACTCTGTTGAAGATTGAATTGCTGACGAAGCGAGTCTTTAGGTACACTGCTGGATTCTGAATCGTACCGTTGGGAAGGGATAACCTGGCCGGACTTCCAAACATCCTGAACTGTTGAGGGGGTGATAGAAGTGAATATGTCAGATAATGGATACTGAATACCATGTGGATCCCTTCGAATACATGCCCCAAGTTTACGCACACTGGGGAATTATCTCTTGAATCACTTGGGGATAAGAGATGGTCATGGACACTTATGAGTGCCCTGGTTTAGCCTTGCGAATGCCCCGGTCCAGCTCTGCGAATGCCCCGGTTTAGATTCATTGGGGATGTTCTTGATTAGCTCCACTGAGGATGCACTTACGCGTGCTGAGTCAAAAGACGATTATGAACTTTCTGAATGCACTTGGGGAATCAGATTTGAAATTATCTGTGGTAGATGAAGGCAGCTTTGTGCGTTGGTCAAGTCAGGTTGATTGTCATGATGCTTTTAGCTTGATTGTAGTCTCGTACAACATAATTGACTTGAGCAACTAAGTATGGATGAGGAATGCCCCTGTCTGGAGGGTCTCTGAGAAGATCTATGTTGAATAGGAGATCAGATTATTCGTGCCACAAAATGATATAAGGTGGCCTGCCACAGTGTCTTGAGCTACGAAATAAACTGCTCTTGATTACAACTTTCTTGGAGAGATTTGTCGAATCTCGACGTAACTGCCCCAGGTTGACTGAATTCTGAATAGATCTCTCGACGTGATAGCCTCTGATTGATCGAGCTTGAAGAGATTTATCGACGTGATAACCTTTGATTGACGACTTTGAGGGGATGCCCCAGATTTGGCTGATCTTGGAGAGATCGACTCTTGACTTAACGGTCCCAGATTGGCGGAATCTGCTAACTTCATCCCTGAATTATACTCAGACTGTGAAGTACCAAGGTGATTTTATCTGGACAGAATCATCGGTTAACATGCTGCTGGATAAGTCATTTCTCTTGTGGCAGCTGACTCTTGCTTCAACAGGGTATTCAAGCCTCTCTTCTCTGACAAGATCGAGCTCTCTACCGGTTGTTCATTGTGCAAACTTACTTGATGTCAATCAGTTGTTTTGTATGCAGAAGAATGTTTATTATGAGAATGATAATTCTAATGCAACGCATATGTAAGTCTTGAAGTTTGAAAAAACTTTGAATGAAATGACGTCACAACTTGTTGTGAACGAGTCACTAGCTAGAGAGAATTTTTTTTTTTATGAAAGATAATGCAAGCATATGATGCCAAAACAAATATTGAGACGTACCTCTTAGGAGTCAGTTAAACGCTATCTCGTTGTAGCACGCTTTCGAATTGACCCATGCTTCAGTTAGGACTTTTATGGGTTGTAACGTGGCCAGGTTCACGGTTTTAGAAAAAAGGATTTAAGGCTCAAAATTAATTGGTTCCCACCCATTCTCCATGATGTTCTCCATTCCTACGTTCAGTTGACCTGGTACAAGCATTCATCTCTCGAGAAGAGTTTGCAATGGTTGAGGAACCAAAGTGGTTTCTTGGACACGACAGTCCCTAACTTCTTTGCCTTTGGTGTCTGATCAAACGACTTTGTTCTTTGATGAGGATTTTTGTTGGTAATCCTTTTCTCGCCTTTTAGGCTTTTCAATTTCTTTCTTGCTTTCCCTAATTTTTGCCTGGACAAATTCTTTTGAATTTTGATTTGAAAGTCCAGCGGGATGCCCCAATTCTTGCCTAAGCGACTTGTTTTCAATCTTCGACTTAGCGTGGATTTTTGTTTCTTTCTTATTCGTATTTTTTTTCATTCTGAACAAGTCGTTGATCTTTGCGTTGTTTTTGATTTGTCGGAAGTGATCGTGACTGCCTGAGTCTTTAGTATCGCCATTTGATAGTCAAATAGACGCACGTTGTTGTTAGATGAGGGTGAACCATTATGGTTTTGACTTTTCTCAACCTTTTGATGGATAACCATTGTCGTATCCTTGGATGCACACTCTTGATGAGTTCTGAATGCTTGAACAGATTAGCTGAACACTACCCGCCCCAAGGTTAAAATGAGGGTTTTTTCTGAATAGAAAGAATACTCCTACTTCAAAGGCTCAGAGGGGTTGGCGAGGGTCTATCTCCCTTATATCTCCGGTGTTTGGGGATTGAAACAAGGCCTGTACATCGTCAGCAGGGTCCTACTCAAAAGCGTACCAACCAGAGATTTTTGCGTTTTTAGATTGTCGTCATCCTCCTTTGAATCTTTACCTAAGCATAAAACTAGGAAATCTGGCATCAATATGCAAGCAAAACATTTAAAGAGTGATAACAAATGGAT